GTCATCTTATGGCAAGCTAGGGGCTTAATGTGTTTGGGTTTAAAAACCTTTTTGTGTAATTAGGCTTAAGCCTCGGAACTTGTAGCCTTTGGACATTTACTCTGTTGTTATGTCTTTTACTTTTATATTGTTACACATGCTATGGTGTAGCGCCCCAAACATCTATTACCTAAATCCATTACCAAATCCTTTATATGAGTACCAATTTACAAATGTCATATATGTGCCACACAGATATTTAGATAGATATTAACATTCTCTCTCTAGAATAATGATGATATATAAATGAAATCTGAACACAGCGCCCTGAGGCTTACATTGAATAACAATAAATAAAAGGGTTTACCCTTATACAATACGTGGCAGTCAGGCAACAAATAAAGGCTCCGTGCCCAACAAATAAAATAAAAAACATCAAGTCTGAACAATCCCTCTAGCCACGTACTTGAAAAGTTTATCAACACGTGAGATGAGCACAAAGTCCAGTACAGATCCTAACATGATTCTAAGCAATAACAACATACAAATAGTTATGGTCATGAATGCCCCATGAAATACGATATACATAGTGTGATGGTTTTATGTTCCAGAAAATATATCATATATGTACATTTGTTTCAAAACCTCAATATTCCTTGACATCACAAGACATAACTTACTTAACTCTTTTCCATTTTCTCCACTTAGGACAAAACTCAACCTCTCAAGACATCTTTATGTCATTAACATTCTACGTTCAACTTAAAAGAGTTTCACTCTAACATTTGATTTTAAAGAAAACGTGTTCATATCCCCGAGTCATAATCTACCCAAAACCTCAATTCATCAAACACACACGCACAACAACACATAAACCCCCCTTTCCTAGCCACATACCCAAGGTCAAAGGGCTCCAACATAAGCATATATTAACTACTAACAATTGAAAGTAATACATACTTTTATTCTCACCGGTCTATAGCACAGATATAATGAAATAAAACATATAATATACCTAACGCTTTACTAGCCTCACCCAGAAGGGAACGTCCCTCAAACCACACTTTTCTGGGCACAAACTGAAAGGGAGAAAATCTTTTCCTAGGCGCCACGCTTTGCCGGCTCAAATACGGTGAGAAACGGACCTCAATTCACACTTAACTAGGGGCAAACCAGTAGGAAAAGGAAACCTCTATCAAGGTGTCACGCTTTGCCGGCTTAGATACGACGAGAAACAGACCTCTAAACAACATACAAAACTAACACAACATGCTAAACTAAAAATACCGTACAAGTGTAATACATACACATAACTCATTCAACAACATAATATCATCCCCCACCAATGACCAAGAACAAAACCTCTAAACAGATAAATAAACAATTAACCCAAATTAAATTCCACACCTTATTTTTATTTCATAAAAGAGTCGAACTCATCCTTTTTCTTTCAAAACCAACCGGTTATCCCAAACCTCCGACATTTCCAACACAAGTCGAAACCCCTTTTTAATCAAAATTATTCCAATAGGTTAAATATTACCATAATTAACTCAACACGACATTAACCAAAACAATCATGGGACTCAATAAAATCCCAATTCAATAATTAAACCATTAATTCTATTTCATAACACAACCCGGTTATTACACAATTTACCCCTTCTGACTAATTAAGCCCTTAACAGTAAATTAGGGGTTTTCTCATTCTCCACGCAATTATACCTAGCTATTTCCCAATTAACCAAAATACCCAAAATCATCCAATTATAGCTCCTAAAGCCTAAACCACAAACCCTTTTTACATGATTTTTAAAATCTACAACAGATATGATTTATGTGTAATAGAACCTACCACGTGTCTAGCCATGGACGAGGTATTGAAAAGAATCAAAGAAATCTCTACCTCTTAGAGCGAAGAGGAGACAACCCAAAAATCACCAGCGACAAAATGACAATATATTTAGATTAAATGAAAGCCCTCGTCGAGCTCTAAGTTTTGGTCTATAGGACTAAGGGTAGAAAATGGGTAGAAATAGATGAAAACCAAGCTTGAAAGCTTGAAAAGGCTAAAAATAGCGCGCGCGCGCGCGCGAGAGAGAGAGAGAGAGAGAGAGAGAGAGAGAGAAGAGACTCTAAAAGTGAGATTTTTCAGTTTTTAGCACTATATATAGACAGACAGACCGCGGCTACGAAAGCCAAACTGCAGCCGCGATGAAGAGGACAAGACTGATCACAAGCACAACCATAGGAACTGCGAGCGCGACTGTGAAGGTTGCAAGTCAACCCTGCGAGCCATGCACTTCATCGCAGGCCACGCACCCTCTCTTGGGCCAACAGACCTGAAGTCTAATTCAGTCACGGCTTGGTCGCAGCCCATCGTCGGCGAGGCCTGCTAAACCATAGGCGCGAGAAAGGTGGTCATGGGTGCTACCAACCTGTGGCAAAATACCTGGGATGCTTTTCTGGAACCAGCCCAAACACATCGAAGGTCCAAACCACCCAGATACAACTAGAACCACTCGAACAACTCCATGTCCTAATTGAAAAAATTAAATGGGTCGGGTTTTCTGACTAGGGCCTCTACATATGGATTCATCTTTTTATAAGATTAAATATGTATTGCATCTAAACACTTTCTGTATACGTCTCTTCTGAATGAAATACTAATTGAGAGAATTGATTAATCAAAGTAGGATCGTTTATTGGATGAAATCAACATGGCTTTTTTTATGTCGATTATTTGGAGGCGTTACACAAACACATAAACCTCACTAAAATCAAAACCAATACCAAAAGCAAAACCAACAGTAGAGAAAGAGAATCACACATAAAAATTTTAAAAATAAATAAATAAATAAATATCTAAATTTATGGAGCGGTAGGATGTTACCTCCAACAATTTAGACTTTGCTCAGCCCAATCCGTCAGCTCCTCCGCTAGTACTCGCGAAGTTTAGGAGTTGAGATGACTAATCAAATTATTCTTTAAATAAGACTTGAAAATTGATTAATTTGTCCCATTAAATGATTTAAAATTTAGATAGATATACATTAAAAAAATGAATAGTTATATTACTATATCATAATTCAAATTTAGATATTGTCATATCTTTTTATAATCTAAATCTAAATTCTTATCTTCTTTATTTATGTGTGGTTTTATGTACTTATTTTCAATTTATTTATGATAGAGTTGTGGGTTTTCTATTTTTTGAAAATCAGTGAAAGAGATTAAAACGGAGAGATTATGAACTATTTTTGTTATCTTTCTATTTGAAATCTATATATTAAGGAATAATTATTTTTTCTAAAATAATTAAGTAAATAAATGAGTCAATAGTTTTTTTAAAATTTATTTCGTAAATTGAAAAATCAATAATTTTAGAATGAGAATTTAGAACTCTTATAAGACTTTTCAATAAAAAATTTATTTTATTTAATATTTGTAGATCTATATATAGATAGATAGATAAGAAATAATGACGTTAATACTTATTCTATGTATACATATAAAATCCATCATATCTAACTAAAAAAGAACAAAAGAAATCCCATTATTTATTACATATAATGAGTCGTCATTTGAATATAATGTTTATTTTGTAAGTCATATAAAAAATGAAAAAATAAGTAAAATTCACCTAGCCATAAAATCCGTTTACATTTCATTAATAATTCTTTCTATATGAGGAACTAATGCCAAGCTTCTAATTTAGTGGTGAAACAAAATGTTGACCAAAAAAAAAAAAAAAGAAAGAAAAAAATCCATTGCAAATGGCATTATTAGTGAAACAAATTGTATATTTCTTAAAAAATTCTTTTTGTGAAAACAAAACTACATTGATAAAATTAAACTATATAAGAATAAATTTGTGTTAACATCATAGGGCATTTATAGTCAAAACAAATAGAATTGCAAATGAAGATATATATATATTTCTAATCAGTGATACTATAAACTCAAAAATTATACTCAAAATTTATCTAAAATTTTTAATATGTAATCAAGATTTACTCTACACGTAATCTCATAATACATTCATTCAATTTTCACCACTCATGCATTCCGGGCAAAAATTTAAACCTCGTTTCCAAATTGTTGAACTATTTGTTTTCCAATTGTTCCATCATATATTAGGTTGTTTTTTTTTTTTTTGGGGGGGCATTATAGGCAAAAATTTAGACCCCCTTTCCAAGTTGTCGGACTAATTGTCTTCCAATTGTTCCATCATATATTAGGTTTTTTTTTTTTTGATTGAGGAAATGGATTTATGATTGGAATATATAACCCTCATCGAGAATGACATGAGATCCTCTACCCTAAATTTTTTTAATCATTTATATCAATACACTCTTAGTCATTAAATAATATAAAAAATAATGAGATTTTCTTATAAAAGTAATTTTTATAAAAACAAACCTACATATACAAAACTAAATTATAAAAAATGTTAAAGAATATATACGTGTTAACATAATAGTGCATCTATAAACTAAACCATGAAAAAATATTAAGGATATATGCCTTAACATATAAGGGCATCTATGGCGAAAATAAATAGACTTTTTTTTTGGGTGAATAAGTCATAAATAAAAAATAAAAGATTTACAAGATTACAAGGGGTATACCCCAGGACCTAAAGCAGCTAAATACAAAACCAACCAAGAAGACGAAACTGTTCAAGATCCATATTCCAATCAAAAGATAGGGGACATGAACAGAAACATAATCTAGACCAACTTAACAATTGGCACAAGCCTAATACAAAACGGTTCAAGAACAGAAACATAATCTAGACCAGCTAAATACAAAACTATTCAAGAGCACCTATGTAACCATTGGCACAAGCCTTAAACCAACTTAAGGAACACGAAGGAAAACTGTTACAAACCCAAATATTACACTTATATAAAACATCCCAGTTGTAAGAACTGAAAGAAAAAAAACCCACAAAGAGTTACAACCATTACAAAAAGTAAAAGGAAAGACAAAGTATTCTCCATGTGAGGGAACTCCACTTAGACTAGAGCAGCAATGCAGCCTGGTCCTGGTGATCCTCTGACAATTTGTAGCCTCAATGGGGACAACACAATGCTTACTCCACCACTGATTAGAGTAACCTGGGAAAGCCAATAGGACATATATAAAACAAAGAAAACAGCAACACCTATAAAACTGTATTGCACAAAGCTCACAATATATATGGGCTAAGTCACTCAACTCACACTGTACACACAACTCACCAAAGACTAATAACAGTGATAGGTATTCGGGAATAACCATGGACTCTATGAGAGAGAAATAAAAAACTACAATAATTTATAGCTCACAAATCTCAACCCACAACAATAACATCCCCTACCAAGTACCAGCCAGTTGTCAAAACCTGTAGGTAAATAAATAAGTTAGCACTCTGTATATAGCTAACATCACTCAACCCTCTTATAGTGACCTCACATCCCTCAAAGAAAAGCTTCCACATATTACACCTACAAACAGAAAACCACATTAGAAAATAGATTAAACATGAGCCTCACTATAGGAACTCACCAAACTCAACCCACAATATGAATCTCTCAAACACTCAACCCTCAGTTGATAACACTCTCCTCAATTTTAAGGATGGTTAGAGGCAACCTCCACTCTTGCAAAAACCAATTATCAGATTAAGACTGCTTGATATGGTTGATAGAGAGAGCTCTATATCTGACCATGTAGAGAATGGCCTTCAAAATGATCTCCTTAGGTTTCCTTTCATTGTTGAAAATTATGTTATTTCTTCCTAACCAGATTTGATACACAGTGCAACAGAAAGCTAGTCTTTTGATAATTGTGGCAAGGGATTTACCCTTGCAATCCCTGGCCACAACCTCAACAAGGCCCAGCCAGGTAATGCTATACCAGTTAGAGTTGCATTTAACTTGCACAACTAACCACACTTTGGATGAATAGATACATTTGAAAAACAAGTGGTCATGGTCCTCCTCAAAGGACCCACATAGAGGGCAACTATGACTAGTGTTAATGCCAAAATTAGCAAGTCTATCACCCGTATTTAACCTTCTCAAAACAGCCAGCCAAACGATAAAACCCACTTTAGGAATAGAATAGGGATTCCACACAAGATTAGCCCAGTAAACAATAGGCCAATTAGATCTCCAAGTATGCCAAGCACACCCAATGCTAAACTTACCATCCTTTTGAGGAAGCCAAACAATTTTATCATTGCTTCCCATGGAAGGAGTAAGGTCAGGAGGAGTGTGAGTAAGGATTTCCTTCACAACCCAAGAGGAAGCATTAGGCCAGCACCAACCACTGTCTTTCACAACAAAAGCCACTTTAGACTAAACATTTAAGGCAGTGTCGTACACCAATCTATTACCATACCTAGCCTAAAGTGAGCCAAAAGGATGCCAATTATCATGCCACAGAAAGGCATCAACCCCGTTTGCCAATCTTGCATTTGATTAAAGGGAATAGGGCCTCCCTCATAGATAAGAGTTTCCTCCACACCCAAGAAGGGTCACAAGGAACATTAACTTCCCAGAAGCTATGGCCTCTTAACAAACAGGATTTCACCCGTTGACACCACATGGATTGCTCACCACAAGATATCAGAAACCAAGCATGCTTAGCCACAACAGCTTTATTCCATATAGTCATAGACTCAAAACCTAAACCACCTCCATTTTTAGGGGCACAAACTCTATCCCAAGCAACCTTAGCACCAGTATTTTTAAGGCCGAGATCAGACCAAAGGAAGGACCTACACAAAGCTTCCACCTCCTTAATAACTCTCTTAGGAAGAATGAAAAGAGAGGACCAGTAGACTTGCATGGAGAAAATGATAGTACTAATCAATTGGGCCCTCCCAGCATAAGACAGGGTTTTATTAGTCGAAGACTTGATCCTAACAGTAATCCTAGTCACAAGACTCTGGCAATCAATAGCTTTAAGTCTAATAGGAATGAGGGGAACCCCTAAATATTTCACAGGGAGATGACCTTCTTGAAATTGGGTAATCCTTAAGATATCATTTCTAAGGGAGGCATCACACCCAGAGAAAAAGACATGGCTCTTCTGAGGATTAAGAGCAAGGCCAGAGAGGGATTGAAATTCCATAAGGCCAGTCTTGATAAGTTGAACAGAGGGGACATGCCCTTTGCAAAAGACCATAAGGTCATCAGCAAAATAGAGGTTAACAATTCTATTTTTCCCACATCTCCAATGAATCTTAAACTAAGGGCTTTGGGATATCTCATTAAAGATCCTAGCTAGAATTTCCATGACAATGACAAAAAGATAGGGAGACATAGGATCACCTTGTCGCAAACCCCTAGCCCCTTGGAAATGCCCGTGAAGGCTTCCATTAATACAAATGGAAAAAAGTAGCTGAAGTGACACAAGCTTTGATCCAGTGTATCATTCTAGTGGGAAAAGACATAGCCTTGAGCACATCAAACAAGAAGTCCCACCTGACATTATCATAGGCTTTCATTAAATCAACTTTCATAGCACACGTAGGAGAGAGTGACTCTTTGTAGTACCCCCTCATAAGTTCCTGAGAGAGGAAAATGTTATCAGCAATTCTCCTGCCTTGGACAAAAGCCGACTAGACAGGATCAATAATGTCAGGAAGCACACCCTTAATCCTGCTAGCAATACTTTTAGCAATACACTTGTAAATGGTGTTACAGCAGGATATAGGTCTATAATCTCCTACCTTAGTAGGATTGGGAACTTTAGGAACCAAAGCAATAGTAGAATTATTAATCTCCTTCAGTAACTCACTAGAGTCAAAGAACGACTTAATGGCAAGAGTGACTTCAGAGCCCACAACCTCCTAAGTACTATGGAAGAAACTAGCAAAGAACCCATCAGGGCCAGGGGCCTTGTTGGGATAAAGGATTTAAAGACATCTTTGATCTCATCAACAGTCACATCTCTAGCTATAAAGACCATTTGAGCATAAGTCAACCTCTTATTAACTAAGGAGTTAACTCTCTCAAAACCATTATAATCATCAGCGTGAGGAGACCCAAACAGGTTAGAGAAATTAGCAACAAAAGCATTATGAATATCAGGAGGCTTAGTGAGCCTAACCCCATTATCTAGGGTAACCCCACTATTGCTGCTCCTATTCTGGTTATTTCTAATGGACCTGAAGAAGAAAGCACTGTTCCTGTCACCTAAACTAAGCCACTGGACTCTAGACTTTTGGTGAGCAAGGCTTTCTTCAGCATTGCACAAATCAACATACTTTTTGCACAAATTTCTCTCATTAACTTGGAACTCCAAGTTCAAAGGGTCCTTATCAAGCTTGATTCGAGCATTTTCAAGCTCAGATCTAGCACATTGAACCCTAGAGGACAGATCACTAAAGTCCCTCTTATTCAAACCCTTTAATAGAGGTTTTAGGGATCTCATCTTACAACAGGTTCTAAACATGGGAGAACCTTGCACATACTTCCACCAGACACTCTGAGCAATAGGAATGAACTCCTTGTGGTCAACGTAGAATTTAAAATATTTAAACGGCTTCCTATAACTAACACCTATAGGAACAACAAACAAGACAGTAAGGGAATGGTCAGAAATACCAGCAGGGCAAAATCTGACATGAGAAAAAGGGAAAGTTTTGAACCATTGGTCATTCCCCAAAACTCTATCAATCTTAGAAACAATATAGTGGCCATCAAACTGATTGTTAGCCCAGGTGAACTGGCAGCCACTGTATGATATATCATCTAAAGAGGCCTGGAGAGATGAAAGGTTACACAGATCTTTAGCACTAGACCAAGATTTGGAACCCCCAATTTTTTTAGAAGGGAATCTTATGGCATTAAAATCACCCAGCCAAACTGTAACGCCCCGAAATAATTCAATATGAACTACCCCACATAATTAACATTCACTAAATCATGACAATAGAACCTTCCATCTTTACATGGTTAATAAGAGAGCTTATACAAAAGTTTCACATGCGGATATACATTCAATGATAACAATACACATGAATCTATAGAATGTGAAGTACCTAATCTCAAAATAATAAAATGCCCTTAAGGGCTTATATCTTCCAAGGCAATAGCTCGGTTACACAAAATGGTCTCTCGGACCCATACACATTTAGCACTTGGCTTTACAAAATTTACAACAAAAATGAAAGTGCTATTTACTCTTCACAAAAATATCCATGCCCTCGGTTCGGCGGGATCCCCATATCTTTTCCTGCACCAAATCCCATAAGGGTGAGCATAAAGCCTAGTAGAGAATTCTAACAAAGTATATACAGTTATGCCAAATCTCAATAAAATATAAATGTTCATGCCATGCCATGCTCTCTTAAAGAAAATTCCATTTCATGCTCTTCTTAAAATTTTCATTTCAATAAAAGTTAGCAATCTCAACACATTTCAAAAACTTCCAATTTTAATCACTAGGGGCGGTAAATACGACACTGGTAGTCCCTAGGCTGATGTCTGCAAGTAGACTCTACAAGTACTACCAAAATGTCATTTTTACCGGTATTAACCGGAAGGCTCGACACCTATCCGCGCGGTTTTTTGGTCTTTCACCAAGGACACTCAGGCCAACTTATCAAGTTCAACTACACCCCTTATCCGGACTTACCACGTATTTACCCCATGCCACATTTCCATAGTTCTTATCATAACATCATTTTTCTTTCATGAAATAAATATTTTCAATCGAAATTTCCAACGCAAAAATAATAATTGAATGAATGTGCAAAATAATGAATTTCCATGTTTCACGGCCTTTCTCCGTTTCCAAATGGCATAATAACAATAACAACTAAATACATGTCTCATTTCCTTCTTTCCACGTTATTTCGCAAAATAACCATGTGTCTTCAACACACAACAACAATTTCTCATCACTTTAATCCTTTCGAGGCCACATGTGAGGTTTTTCAAGTATTAACCTCCACTATCCATAATTCTCACAATCCATTATGCACAACAATTTGTCATTTCATAGCAACATATATATTCAAGTACTTAACAATAATTTCTCAACAAATTCATCATATCTTTAATCATAGTTTTCTAAAACAAGTTCTCCACCTCCATATGTCAAAAAATTTCCATCTTTTGCAACCACATTATGAAATCTACATACATTCATCCTTTTATCAAAAGAAAAGAAAGAATTTCATGGACCTTTCTATGTTTTCCAAAAATCTCCAAATTTCTAAGGTTTTCATCAAAATCAAACATTTTCTCATTTCATTAGTGAAGCCCCATCAAAACCATCCTTTTGAGTTTTAATAGAAGAAAACCCTCTAAAATTAGTAAAAGGTTAAGACTCAAACTCATTAAAAATTCTCCACACCTTTGAATCACGATGTTGAAATCAACATAAGAAATAGAAGAAAGCTCTTAAGTCATCATCAAAACGACAAAACTTGTATATATAACTCAAGAATGTCCCTACCTCAAGGATTGATGAAGAAGGAGAAGTGAAACCCTAACTTCAAGGATGAAAAACAGCCTTGATTTCCACCACACCAAGAAGAGCCCTAACTTGATCTTCAAGATTAGAGAGTGAGGATGATGGTCTAAACCCAATCGATTGCAAGAATCAAGGAATTTTAATATTTGGGGATGTTATCTAGAGAGACAGAGGAGAAAAATAGGTTATAGAGTGAGAGAAAAGAGCCCCAAATGAGATACACTTCGGCCAAAAAGAGAAATAAAAATAGAGGTTCGGGCTGCCCTGACGTCCCGCACGTGCGGCACACTCCTCGCACGTGCGGAGCCTCACTCCTGCACGTGCGGCTCCTAGCCCTGCACGTGCGGCCCTCCCCGCACGCACTTGCTCCGCACCTGCAATTAAAGCAGAACGCAGCTCACCCAAGCTTCCCTCTTCTCGTACGTGCGGCTTGGCCTCCCGCATGTGCGGCCCTGGCCCAGCAGGCCAAAAAATTTATGCTTCATTCCCAGGCACCCCGGACTTGACCCCGCACTCTCCGGAACAAGTGAAATTCAACACCGGACAAAACAAGAGCAAGAACTTTATTTAGAAAACTATTTCCGGACATTTCAAACCCAACAAAAAATAAAAGGAGGATGGAGCGAAGGAAGATAGAAAGAGGAGAAAAGAAAGAAGAGAAAGACCTGGTCATCACAACCTCCCCAACATAGGAAATTTCGTCCCCGAAATTTGAATAAACTCACCAAACAAGAGTGCTCTCGCAACTACAATCATTTTAACAACATTTTCAAGTTACAATATCAACACCCAACCAACATTTACCCTCCTTTCCATCATCATTTCATCAAACACAAACGTTCGAACTAGAAATGAAATGAGACCTCCTGAACAATATATTATCTTTCCATAACATCATGCTCAAATCAACAATACATACAACAACATGTGATCAACATCTTAACACTTTTTCCCTTCAACACTAGGGAACATTACAAATTTTAAAACAAAACAACTAAACATGCTCAAATAAATCCGGATAGTTGGAGCGAACTCCCGCCTCCCTTTCCCAAGTTGCCTCCTCAATTCCATGGTGTCTCCACAACACCTTCACTAGCGGTATGGTCTTACCTCGCAACACTTGTTCCCGGGTATCTAGGATTCGAACCGGTCGCTATTCGTAGGAGGCATCATCATCTACCTCCAAATCAACCCAATCCAACACGTGAGAAGGGTCAGGTTCATACTTTCTAAGCACAGATGGGATTTTGGATGCTTGGGAGGCAGTTTCCACAAGTTGCTGAAAAAGTGGAATTCTCAAAATATGTTGATTTTCAGCATATACAAAGCCAACAGCAAATAAAAAATCAGTGCCTAACAATCCAATTTTGCAAAAAATGATTTGGTCTGATTGATAGATTGGGTTAATAGTACAAAAAGTGGGATCCCAACATACCCATATGCGCCCAGTAGAATTAGTGTTGGAATTCAAAACAAAAGCCCAATTATTTTTGAAAACCTTCCCAAAAATACTCTGTTCATTGGCATGAAGATACTCATTTTTGAGAAAATCTATGTATACAAAAACTAAACTATGAAAAATATTAAGAATATATGCCTGTTAACATAAAAGGGCACCTATGGCGAAAATAAATAGACTTGCAAATGATGATATCCATTTTCAATATATGCATAAAATAACAGGGCATCTATGACGATACCCATTTAGGTGCTTGGGATGATATAAATAAATTTATTTTTTGACTTTTATGAAAAGATATATAAAAAAGGAGAGATGCGATATGACCAAAAAAAATAGAAAGTATATTTTCTTAGATCATGTCAAATAGACTTGTAAATAGTGATACCCATTTTTCAATTATATATTCTGCGCATATTTATTTTTGTTTTTGGTTTATTTATGTTGGTATACAATGACATGAGATAATTTAATTAATCTTTTATCTCAATATGCTCTTAATCATTAAATTATAAAAATAAAAATAAAAATAAAAATATGAAAAACTTATGATTTCATATGATATAATATTTCAGAGTACATTGTAAGAGGTGACAACAAGATTTGAAGGCTAAGGTTTCTAGGCAAGCTAGAATTACTCCTTAAATGTGAACAAGTTGCAAGACTTTCTCCAGTTGTTCCCCTCTTGACACTCCCCAACTAAAATACCAAACCAAACTGATCTCCCAACCAAAAAAAACATCAAATGTGCAAATACCCAAAACTCAATCAACTAATAAAACTGCACAAAGTCTGATTTGAAGAATATCTTCGATATTCTCCTCCCAAAACTATGAAAAACAAAATAAAATAAAAGACTGTCCAAAGCTTTAAATTACACACAGAGAAGTACGAACATGCGAGACAAATTTCTATTTCACGTCTAAAAAATTTAATGCCCACGCCTCTGGTGGTTCCTTTCTAGCAGCCCTTCCATTATGACTCTCTTTTTGTCATCTCCAGCCGTCGCGGATTCCTTCTTCGGCGATATCACCGTCGTGTTTTCTGATCTCCTTTCGCAAATATTCCGGCGAGGTAGAAAGTAAAGAAACAGACATGTAAACAGTATAGCGCAAACCCGGCCGCAGAAGACTGTAGTTAGGAGCGCAATGAGAATCAATAAAAACCCTGAATTTGAACTTGAACTAGAACTAGAACTAGTACTAGTACTAGTCACATTGTTTTGGGTTTTCAATTCGGGGCAGTCACGAGTCCTCTGTTTTCTCTGTTTCGAGGAATTGGACTGAGTCTTGGATGACGATTTCTTGTCGGACGAGTTTTTAGACGTAGTTGGTGATTTTCCTTTGATTCTCCGAAGATCGGTGTCGGTGTTTTCGGGTGATTTTGATGGGTTTGAATCGCTGCTTTCTGAACCCAACATGAGTTGAGGAGCTTTTCTCTTCCCAGCTTTCTTTCTCTGTGAAAATTGAGAAATCGTAAGATAATGAAATAGAGAAAATTAAACACAAGTTTTGGGGTTTTTCGAGAACTAACCAATGAAATTTCGAACAGAACAGCTTTGAGAACCCGAGAAAACAATCGGCTTGAGTCACTTTTAATTGAAATCTTTGAAGATTTCAAGTTTTCAGAGTCCAGAACAGGGGATTTAGACACGGAAATCTTCGCATCTTTGTAGTTTGGGAGTGTGATGCATGTAAGTGCCCGATCACCGAAACAATCTGGGCCATTGGGTTCTGACTCTGTTTCGATGCCGAGAGGTCGGAAACAGAAGAACTTGCTCTTCATTCTTAAGGCTTCAACAGGTTTGAACTTGAACCTTGTAGTTCAATGTATTCACAAACAGAGAAGAGACGGACAGAGAGAAAGACTCCAAGAAACAGAAATATGTGAGAAAGACTCCAACAAAGCAAGCACAGAGTGCTCTGTTTTGTTGGGTTTCAATATATCACAAAATAGAGCTACATATGTATATCATATTACATCAAAAAGAACACAATCTTCTAAATCATAAAACAAGGTACCCATGTATAGCTATACTATATCACACAACTAGAAAGAAAAACATGTTTGTGCTTTAAACACAGACTCAGAATAATCAGACTCAGACTCAGACTCATCATAATCCAGACTTCTTGACAACTGCACAATTTAAACAAGAAGGTTGACTTTGAAGTCACATGAGTAGAATGTTTTTTTAAAAAATACATTGACAAAGGCATTTGTCCACTTCTACAAGTTAATCCTCTTGTGTCATACCCTTGTTTGTAACTAAAAGAATACAACTATGAATCCCATCAATGGGAGAGAGGGAGGATTTTTCAAGGGAATTTTGTCCACATGCTTCCTTGTTGCGTCCGATGAGAGTTTCGGCTATGGAAACTAAAAGACAATTTGCAGTTCTGTAAGCATCTTCAATTCTTCTATAGGTTTATCAAATTTGAATAAAAAGCTTGATTTAACATAAATACTCCTTTTGTTTTTTCAAATTTTCAGTAATTTATTTTTTTATAAATTCTTTTTTTATCTCAAAATTTTCTTTTCATCAAATTTGATGGACTCTAATGCTTCATCTTTTTAAATTTTCATTAAATTCAAATTTGATAAAAGATTTGATTAGTTCTCAATTTAATGAAAAAATTAATCTCTTTCGATTTGATGAATATTTGATAAAAGGATTTAAGGTAATTTTTGAATATTTTCATTAAATTTAAAATTGGTGAAAGAAATTGTGAAGAATTAAAGATGCTCTGAGATAGAGGATGACCCTGTTTGGTATGGCTTATTTTCAGCTTATTTCAGCTTTTAACTTAATTTAAGCTATTTTGATGTGTTTGGTTCAACTTACTAATACAGCTTATAACCTTTTATAAGTCAAAAATAACTTATTCTTTGAGTGGGGGAGGAGAAACTTAATTTATAAGTCAAAAAGTAGCTTATATTCACAGTTATAAGCTATAAGCTGTTAGACTATAAGTTATAATCACTTTCTCATAGCTCTACCAAACGGGACCGATATAACTCTTGCTTGGTTACCTAGCTCATATATCCCTAAAGAACCAAAAAAAAAAAAAAATGGGGGGGGGGGGGGGTGTTAATTACACGTATCTCTTTTGAAATTAAAAAAAAATACATTTAATTGTATATTTTTGACATAATTATATTGATTTATTCTGAAGTTTTGATATAGTAGTTCAACGTTTTTTATCAGTAATTCGTTAGTGGTATTAATGAGAAAAAAAATGATGTTATAAAATCATTTTAATAAAATATACATTTAATTTTATTTATTTAAGTGTTTACTTGTCATTTGCATTAGTTGCGATCACTTTAATCATACTTAAAAGGAAGTTGGAATCCATTTGTTTTGACGTAAAATATTTTTGATTTCCATTGTTTGGTTGAACAAAAAGTAAGAAACAATTTTTAAGAAAAATATTTTTACATCATTTTTTTAAAAATGACTTACTTTTAAAAATTCCGTAAGTTAATTTTTACAAAATTGACTCTTACTTACTACTTTTTCAATACATTTAGGCTTCCAAATAAATATCTTAACTCACTAAAAAATTCATAAATGACTCTTTATTGAATCAAAATTCTCTTTCAGGTAATAAAATGTTTTTGTTTCAAGTGTCAACCAAATGCCCAAAAATAAAAACAAAAATATTTTTTCTGTGTAAAATCAATTTATAAGAAAAATATTTGATTTTGTAAAATATTTTACGTCAAAACAAACGGAACTTTAATGTAATTATTTTAAAAGAATAAGGCTAATCATATTATCTGTAAAACTCCAAGGAGGTGAATGAAATATATCCAATAAAAAATAAACATGAATTGTAGAAACTGTTAGAAGGGAGATTGTTAGGTTTTTGTAATTGATAATTCCGTTTGACAAAATTCTTTTTAATTATAATTTTATTCGCTCTTTTGTTTCAATGAGACCGAGAGTGTTTAGATACGAATCCAACTCGAATTGTGTCTATGTACAGGAGTTTGTGCTGACATTTCGTATCTTGAGCATTCCTTATTTTCCACTTTGCTGACTAAGCCAAGAAGAAAGTCAAAGTGATTTGATCGCTCAAGCAATGAAGTGAATCATCTAGTATCTTTGCTTGCAAACTGAATTTTTGGGAAATATATTTCACAACTTGAGCAATGTTGCGCTCGAACAGTTGGCCTATATGCTTGCACTGCCTTTTACTTGCATGGCTCGAGCAGTCTTTGTGACTCTGTTTAGTATAAAGTGCATTGTTTACTACTTTTAGGGTTTAACTCGTCTAGATTCTCAAAGAGGAGTAAAACACAAAGTATTCTATATTGAAAGTGTAACAATCCCAAACTGTGATTAGCCACTAAACCATGATTAATGATGCCTAATAAGTAATTAAGAAGAAATTTTATGTTAATTGTATGTGTTACATGTTATTTGTGTTAATATATGTCTGTCGTAGAAATATCTGTTTGTGTGTCTGTTTTGTTCTGCGAATTGAAAGCCTTATTGGCATCTGATCACGGAATTGACTTGGTTTATATGATATTTGGAATTTTTAAAAAATTATGATAAGTTTAATTGAAATTCGATTTGGAACGAATTAATTAGGATAATTAATGCCATTTTGATTAATTTAAATCAAGCTTATTAGGCAACACTAAACCAAGCCTATATAAGGCTTCTAGATCACAAAAAAATTCTCATTTTGTCACTCTTGAGAGCAAAAATGTGAGAGAGAGTGAGAGACTAAGAGAATTGAGATCAAGCTTGAGTTTGGAAGGAATTGCTAGGAGATTTTAGAGAATTGCTCAAGATTATCTCTAAACCTTAAAGGATTGAAGACCTTAGGTAAGAGTCCTAGCCTCTAGATTTATAATTTACTTGGTTAATGCATGGAATCAAGTGAAAGAGGAGAATTAATATGAGAATTGAGGTCAAGAATGGAATTGAGAATCAATTCATGCATGCATGTGCATTTCATGGAGTTTTGAAGTTGTTTTCAAAGATTTCTTTCATGCATGTGTTAATTCTAGCATGGTTTTTAGAATTCATAACATTTCTCACCATTGGACCTCATTTGATCATGTTTTGGAAGCTTTGAAGCCAAGACAATACATGCATGTTATGCATACATACAACCCAAGTTTGTTTTGAATAATTTACTTGCTTTTGGGCCTTGATTTTGTGTAATGATCTTTAATTCGTTATGTTTTCTAAGTTTACAAGTATTTTCTCAAAATTTGGGCCCAAATGATGTGTTTTAAGGCTTTGAATTTAAGTTTTGCACCTTGAACAACAATCTAGAAATTCCAAAATTTATACCCTCCGCACGAGCGGTGGAGTCTGCACTTAAGTGGAGAATGTGAGCTCCCAGTACTTTTGCAGAGTTTGAGGGTTTGCTCGAGCGGCAGAACCTGCGCTCGAGCGACCACCCTTGTTTTTGACCCTTTGCTCGAGCGACAAGAATTGTGCTCCAACGTAAAATGAGAGCTCTCAAAAGTTTTATAGACTTTTGCAAACCGCTCGAGTGTAAGGAGTTGTGCTCAAGCGCAGTTTTGTGCTCGAGCGACCGTAGAGTGGAAAAATCATGCAACCAATACTTTTGTAGACTTCACAAAGTGTCGGAAGTTGCGCTCGAGGAGACTAACCTGTTTTTGAAATTTTTGCTAAGTGTTTCAAAGCACATTTTGGCATCCTCATTGAATCTTATGCATTTCTAAGCCCTTATGAATACATAATAATGAGGATAAAGATTAGAAACACACCAAGATAGAAAAGAATTGAGTTAAGTGTTTTCCGAGCATGTGTTTCACTGTGTATATCTGTTCTGTGTTTGTGTAGGCCACACGCTGTAGGCCATCTGGTTATCTACTCTGTTTGTCTGCTATATCTATTTTGTCTGTCTGCTATTGGAGCCAACTGTGAGTAATAACTTTGTAAAGCTATGTTCAATTATAAGTATTTTCTGAATGATATAAAATGTTCTGTTTCTTAAATATTATTTTATGTATGAATGAATGGTTGTCCAATGTTTCTCAAATATATTCGTGGCATCCTTAGTTTCAACTGTACGTCTCATGAGCCAACTGTTCAGTCTCTGTGCACGTAAGTCAACTGTATGCCTCTATGGTCGTTCCTTTATGGGTCAACTGTTACGATTAATGCTAATGGATGAACAACATAAGATTAACTGTAAATTCTAATTATGTATATGATTTTGATTCCATTTCTATTTTAAATGCTGACATATGAACAAGAATATGAATCCACTTCTGATATGAACTGAAATCTATTTTTGTATCTGTTATGGACAACATACGTTAAATCCATTACTCTATTATTATTCACTAGGCTCCAGCTCATCATATTATTTATGTATGTAGGTGATCAGACATGTGACCTGGCTCAGTGATGATCACCTGGACTTCTGTTTTGTCGGCCAACCTTTATGCCTCCCGAAGAGGTTCCGAAAAAATCCATGTGGTCATGTTTTGTGAACCAAGTCTTAAACTTAGTTTTCTTTTGTGCAATTTGAACAAATTTCTGTTTATTGATATATATGTGAGTGGCGTAAGACTAATGTAAATATGACGTCACATGTGGATATATATAAAGTTTTACATTTTTGTTCTATGTATGTCTACACAACTCTATGGACTATGCATGTTTTATATATCAGCTTCCGTAGCCCCTTATTATGTGCTAATCTGTTCAGAGGCCTTTGGTAATCCTAGGATTACTGGCCGGTTACAGCGCTGAACGTATAGAGGCGGGTTTGGGTCGTGACAGAAAGGTGATTTATATGAGTTTCCTTGATGTATAGAAAATGATTGATTGATCAACGACTACATATTGATAAACATAAGGGTTAATTTTGTTCGTTTATTTACAAAAAGAGAGATGTGTTCTTTGGTGGATTCCGAAGAACTTGAACTTGAAAATTTGGTGGATTCCAGAGTGGCTCATCGTCGTGGATTCGAAATTGGTATTGTGGATTCAATGATGAGTAAAGCAATTCCGAGGTGAAGATGGTGGTGGAAGAGACACATCGGGTTTAGTTCAAATCGGGCATGGATTCACTAAGTAATTCAGAGTACTCTTGTATAATTCCCTTTTATCTTCTTAGTGGATTGTTTTATGATTTTAGCCTGTGATTTTTTATCACAATTGGAGGTGCTTCAATTGTAATTTTTTCCACGTTAAATCATTGTGCCGATTTATCGTTGATTATTTGATTGGGATTAATATTTATGGTTTTAAATTGAACATAATCAAGAATCAATATATTGAAGGTTTTTAATTTTACAGAGACTAATATGCCTAATTGTACAAGCATGAAATAATCTTTTACGCATAATTTTGTTGA